AGTAGAGAGCTGACAAGGAATCAGTWCAAGTCTAGGACACCGAGGAACACTTCAAAGACATAACGAGATACACCCTCCAATCAAAAGGCCGTTGTGACAGGTGAATGATCCTCCAAGGATGTTTGAATCTCTGGAATCTGTGAATGCATGACATTATGGGGCAAAATGAGCTTTGTAGATGTACTTGAAGTGTGTGCCTTAAAATAAAGAGAGTATCCTGGATTATCTGGATGGGCAGGCTAATCCCATGAAAACTTAGAAGCACAGAACTTTCTCTGACTGGAGGMAGAGAGATTCCGCAGAAGGAGAAGTAAGAGTTAAAGTGTGAGAGGATTCAACCCACCTGCTGAATAGGGGCCACATGAAAAGGACAAGAAGGGACACTGGTGCCTACAGGAGCAAAGCCCAGCCCCCCAGCTGACAGCCAGCAAGGAAACAGGGACTACATCCTACAGATACAAAAAAAAAAAAAAAAACTGAATTTGGCTGACACGCTTATTGAGCTCTGAAGCAGATTCATCTTCAGAGTCTCCGAGAAGAGCAGAGACCTGAGAACACTCTGATTTCAGTCAATGAGATCCTAACTGATCACAGGTGGACCTCCACCGAATCCAGACTTCTGGCCTTCAGAATTGTTAGAGAATAAATGCATATAGCTTTAAGCTGCCAAGTGTATGCTCATTTGTTATAACAGCAAGAGATAAACCAATACAACCAGCAAGGACCTCAACAAGAGAAACAAATAAATCACTCCGCCTAAAATTTGCTGACCCACTATTACGGCTCCTTCCCACCATCCAAAATGGAGTGGAGGTCACTGAGGGGCAACATAGGGAGGTCCCCACAAACACTTCTGTCTGCTCTCTGGGAAAGATGTGTGCTGCTTCAGGAAGGACCTCGGGAGACGGCCACCTGTCTTCACCTGCTGTGCAGTGAGGTAAGAGAAGTGGTTGCCAGGTGGCTCTGAGCTCCTACTGCAGGAAAAACACTCTGAATACTCGGTGACATGAGCCTTCCTTGGACTCAGAGGTAATATTTCATGTATGAACCCATCAGAAAGCCTTTCTTTCCTTCCTTCCTTCCTTCCTTCCTTCCTTCCTTCCTTCTTTCTTTCTTTCTCTTTCTTTCTTTCTTTCTTTCTTTCTTTCTTTCTTTCTTTCTTTCTTTCTTTCTTTCTTTCTGTTATGAATGACAACAGGATTCATTTTGACATAATTATAAAAGCATGTAATATAATTTGTTCTAATTCAGCCCCCAGTACTTCCTCTTTCCTTCCCCTCCGCCCTCCCCCTTTCCCTCTCCTATACTGATCTATTTTTTATAGTTTTTTTTTAATTAGTGCCTTGTGGATGCACATACGGTGAGATGTACTGTGGTACAATCACATAGGTACATAGGAAAGTTAGGATAGATTCATTCCACTGTCTTTCCCTATCCCATTCCTTCTCCCTTCCCTTCAGTCCCTTTTGTCTACTCCACTGATTTTTCTTTGATTCATTTTTTTTTATCTCCCACCTCCCTTATTTTGGATTAACTTCTGCATATCAGAGAAAACATTCYACCTTTCACTTTTTGGAACTGGCTTATTTCACTTAGCATGATAGTCTCCAACTTCAACCATTTACTGGCAAATGTCATAAAATCATTCTTTATGACTGAGTAATACTCCATTGTGCATATATATATACCGCATTTTCTTTATCCATTCATCTGTTGAAGGGCACTTAGTAGCTAACCTACAGAGCCAGCCTGTGAATTATGTTTCTATAGACATTGATATAGAAAGCCATATTTTTTGAGGATCTCAGCTAGTCCAGCTCTGTAACAGTCCTGACACATAATAAGCAATAAATATCACTCTATGGATGAATAAGTTTTTAAGTAAAATATAGAAAAYTCTTAATTAAAAACATATCTTAACTCTAGAAAACTTGAAGCACTCCAGCATCCAGTATTTATTTTCATGTGAGATATGGATTGCAGCACAGATATAAATAAGGCTTTATAGGGTGAGAGGTTTGGRTAATATCTGGACAAAAAATGCGATTTTCATGGAAATGTTCTCCAGAACCACCTTGCTTGGTATGACTCTAATTCCCAACACTGATCTATGGAAGGGAATGTCTATCTTACCAGCAATTATTTTCAGCACATAATTTATATTGTGTCAATTAAATGATCGGTTTCTATTTATTGAACACCTATTGTGTGCCAAGTCCCATTCGAGGCTCTTCATCTATGAGGCCGATAATCACAGCAAAGATTAGCATATATTTATCTGCAAGTAAAGGGAGAGGAAGCTGAGGCCTACCAAGGTTAAAATAATCTTTTCAAGGTCAATTCCAGGAAACAGCAGAAGCAACACTTGAACCCAGGTGAGCTGACCCCAAGCCCACAGCCCTTCCAACTCTGCCACACTTCCCCATTTTGTCCCAACACTATTTTCCAGAAGTCATTCAGAGACTGGAAGAGGCCCAGGAAAAAGACTCAGAATACCCTTGGCTGAAAAATGAGGAAACACCCACGTTAAAAAATAATTAAATGAGAAAAAATGTTTCAAAATATGTCCCTCCTGATGATTCCCTTTTGGTACAGAAACACGTATTGACAGAAGTTTCCCCCCATGATGCTGTCCCTGGCATCTGGTTGCTGCTTCTGTTGCAGTTCTTGGCATAATTAACTGGCCACGTGCGATGATGTCACGTGTCACATACATCTACCATCACAAATGTTAAAATTGCAACCAAGTGACAGGAGGAAAAGCCTGCTTACTGAAAATCAAATATCAGTCCAGGGACCCCAATTAAAACTGGGCTTAATTCAATAAATAACATCCCCAAATGTTAGAAAGTCATTTTATCTCAAAGGCAACCTCCAAAATCATCTTTCCACAGAACAATCCAAACCACTCAGAATAACTCATCACGAACCCATCTTCTGACTTTATGAAGACAGGTTTCTCCGCAAGAGCAGAGGCGCAGAAGCAGAACCCCAGATGTTCTGGACACCCAGGAGATGTGCAGCAAGCATCCTCCAGCCACCTTAGTCAACACCTGTACAGCCACCACACAAGCAGATGGAATGCAACGCGGCTGACAGGTTTGAAGGACCCTCTCCAGGTACTTGTCATGTTGCTGATCGTCCCAAATGGAGAGGAATTTCAATTTGAAAGCTGAGCTGTTAATTGTCAGCGTTCTTCTCTGAGTGAAATTCAGACATTATGTGATTGGGTGGGTTTCTGTACTGGGGTTGTGTATACAACAGGTGTTTAATGAGTAGATGGAAGTAAAACAGAATGAAGGGGCACCAGAATAAATTACTATGTCTTGTAAAAACACTCATCTTTCTAAAATATGAAGGATGAACATTTCTGTCTTGTAGTGAAGTGAAGAAGCCAAAAGCAGTCCAAGGAAAGGTTTTGTACCCCAACCTTTTGTACCATTTGTAATAACCCTGACTTTCTATGTCTCACAGTGAAAAATGCTAATAAGCTTCAAATCTCTGCACAAGTGAGCTTATCTAAAATTTAGGGATGTTACTTGGGGCTTCAAACATTCCCATTAAGAAATAGATCAAGCCAGGTGCACTGACACACGCCTATAATCCCCATGGCTTGGGAGGCTGAGGCAGGAGGATCACAAGTTCAAAGCAATTTAGCAAGACCCTAAGTAACATAGTGAGACCCTATCTCAATTTAAAAAAAAATAATAAAGAGCTGGGGATGTGGCTCAGTGGTTAAGCACCCCTGGGTTCAACCCCCAGTACCAAAAAAGAAAAGAAAAAAATAGATCATACTTGAAATTATAATATAGAAACATTAGCCAAGAGAATCACAGACCATTGAACAAAGCACTAAGCTTATTTGTTTTTTAACTGAAATAGAATGTACTACCTCTGGAATAAAATAAAAGGAGATCTTAAGCATCCGGCATAAGCTGGTCATAAAGACTAAGCTGAGTGTCCGCCAAGAGGCACCTAGAACCTCACAGTGTTCCTACAACCTTCTCCTCAGGAAGGGGCTGCAGCATCATAGGGTTGAGCAGTATATAAGAATGTCTCAATGGTCAGTCCAGAATCCATAACCTGAGATGTGTTTCTAAGGTCACATCCAAGGCACAGAGTCCAGAAACTGCATATTCTTAGGACCGCCCCCCCCCCCCCAGGGAAGACCCAACTCTCTATAGAGAAGTCATGGCACACAGAGTCCAAGAGAATTATAATTTCATTTTCTAATAATAAAGAATCTCTCTGTTCAGGCACATTCTTCTTCCAGGGCTCTTTTCCTGGTTTTAAGAGAGCTTACTGACAAATCAGAGCACTCTCTGTTAAGTAGGAAACCTGAATCCTGAACATTAAGTGATATCTGGGCATTTTACCAGAACTCTCAGAAAACCCAGAGACATTTTTATTCTTGAATTCCTATCTACAGGCTCATGCTCATCCACATGATTTGGTTAAAAAGGAATGTGTATTCTCATGGAGTGCTTCTCTGAACAATGGATTCCTGAGCTGATCAAATTTTGTTGGGATTTTTTCCTTTGGATGCAATTTTGTCATTGATTAAGCTAATTACTGGGTGTGGTCCCCTCTAATTCCAGGGTTTTACTGTGTCAGCCTACTGTATCTCCTTTCTGAGTGTTTTTAAAGCACCTATAAATAGCCATCTTCCCATCAATGGTTTTGAGACTTAAAAAAAAAAAAATCCAGGGAACGCTTTCTTCAAAAGAACTCTGACTCATCGTTATAGTATGAAAAACATGAAAAAGCAGGTCTTCTCTGATTGAAATGGGCACAAGGGACCTTGGGCTTGGACTCAGCCACACCCTGCACATCCTTCCCTCATTCACACTTAAAATACCACTTGGCTAAACAGTATCACAAACTCCCAGCCAGCCCTGTGTTTCTACAAAAACAAAGACATGTTGTCCAAGGAAAAATTTTACATTCCAATAGCATTATTACCACGTGAAGCTTCTTTTCCACAGAGCAAGTCCACTCACCACGATCGGCTTCAGGATGTCCATGTTGGAACGAAGCACTCGCTCTGCCGCATCCAGTTTTTCCCTTGGTAGACTGCAAAGCTCAGAAACTTCTGCATCACCAAGTCGAATCACTTCTCCTAATTTGGATCCATTGCACAGATTGGTCAAATGTAACTGGTAACCTTGCAAAAATACCTGGAAATATTCATGCAAAGAGAGACAAGTGGAATGGGATTACAAAGACGGGAAGCAGGGTCCGTGAAGCCCTTGGGGTGCTTCCCACAGGTACAGCTTTGAAGGTCTTAAAAGGAGCACTGCTGATGATAGTTTAAAGCATCGGGTCTTTTTTCTGAATTTCAGAATAAATCATGGCATGATCTGACAGCACATTTTAAACCTGCATGATGTGTTRGACTCAGTATCTTCCACATTCTCGTCCCTCTTGCAGAGAGAAATCCAACTCTGCATCCAACTCTTTTTTTCAGTGCTGGGATACATGATTCAGTGAATAGGAATCCAGAATCTGAACTCCTGGAACCACTTTTATTAGAGTAAAACATCCTTGCTGTTTTTGAATTTATGATTTCTTAAACTGGGATTGGGGTGGATACTGAAAAAAAWATATGATTTGTCTACAGGTCTAGATATTTAATCAATGCACAGAACTAAAGGCAGAATTTGGAATTTGGAATTTACTGGAAAATAAATTTACTGGAATTTATTGGAAAGTTGGACCTCCTATCATCTCATTGATAGGCCAGTTTAAGTCATTCTTATCTATTCAGAATAGCAAACCCACTAGGAAGCCTCTCCTTGGTCATTTTTGTTTACTTAATTAGCTGTCCTGGCCCTGAATAAATTGTGCTTCTTGGTCCTTATTCCCCTGTAGACAGCAGGCTTTGTAAAAAGCAGGGCCTTGACTTTCAGTGCTGACTTTGTATTCATAGAACTGGAACACTAGAGTCTATAAAGATTTGTTGAATGAATGAATGAATGATACAGGCTCTTTTTTTTTATATGTAGAGTTACTAACTTCCCTGTTAGTTTAAATAAATACAGCCTGTCTTGCTAATAGAACAACCTAATGTGAGTGATGGGCCAATAGCTTCTCAAATAAACTGCAGAGTATTTGGCCTGCCACGGTTTCCAATAAATTTTCACCTATGCCAGATACTCAAGTGCACTTCTGTTTTACTTCTTTCTTTAACCAGTTCTTGCCACCAGGCTGCCAGTTTACCCTTAGTGTCTGTGTTTAAGAACACCGACAACTCAGAAATTCTAATTACCATGTGCGGACCACCTCCATGCTTAGGATGCCCCTTATTCTAAACTGATGGGATGTGACAGATATGGAATTGGCAGGGGACAATGGAAATTGTGCTAAACACAACCATTTTCAAAAGCTTGCTGCCTCTGGCCCACCTCCCAGCCACACAATTGGTAAACACAAGGCATATTTTCCTAGTTTCATAAGGGCAAGCAGTAAGCACATTTTTCTAATTTTAAAAATTCTGGATCTTGTGAAGCAAAGACCTTATTTTCAAACATAAACATTTCCACTACTTCTGCTTATTGTAAAGACCAGATATTACGCAGACATGAGACCKGGTAAGAAAGAAGTTCCCTTCCTGCCAGAGAATGCACTTGAGAAGCATCTCTGAAAAATCAATATCAGGTCATCTGTGCAGGAGCTCCATGAGAATTAACGATGCCACAGGAAGTTCTTTCTCGAAGAATCTAAGGTTAAAATGCCATATAAACTCTAAATATTACTTCCTGCTTTTATAACTTTAAAAAGAAAACTCTCCTTAGGTATCTTTGCTCTCTTTCAAAGCAGCATTATGCTTTTTAAATCTCCTGTCTTAGATTGCATAGACGGAATCTCTCCAGGTCAATAATCCTTAACCCTGGTTCTTATCTCAGAACTGTGAAATTTTTTTTTTAGAAAGTTTCATTCATTTGAACTTAAAATGTAACCCTTTGGGGAGGAAGTCATCATAAATGCCAACCAAGGGATAGTAAATCAGTTTTATTTCAACCAGCCGGCCCTTGACGCCAGGCTGCACATTTTGCTCTCTGGAGGGTTTCATGATGCCCAGCCTCCTCCAGAAGTCACATTAGGTGAAGATGAATTCGAGCTAACTTCTTCCTTCACCATCATTATAAAGAGAGAGGTTTATCCTTTCTTTCTAGGCAAACAATGTAACTGCCATCAGCCGGCTGAGGAAGTGAAGCGGCCACTTACCTTCTGCAGACTGACATCAGCCCCCAGCATTTTCTCCACAGTTGGCCTTGGTAGAGACAGATTGTGATTCAGGAATCCTGAGAAGGTTTCATTGTCCACCAGGAAATCCTGAAGCTTCAAGCCTATCAAAAAAAAAAAAAAATGGTGTTTTGTTTTCATTTAATAAGTAACTCAAAACAAAACAAAACAAAAAGCACTATGAGGCAGGTGGAGAAAAATATCATAATATTGATTGCCTGGTTTTAAACTGATTGATGACCACAGGCTTCTGGCTTAAGCACACATCGAAATGAGCTAGGGGAGATCTGCCTCATCAGGAGAGACAGGAAGAGACTGCCTTCTGATAGTTGAGTCTCACTCCCAGACTCACACAGTGCCACAGTGCTGTCACACACACACACAGCTTCTCCTTGCTTTTCAAACAAAAAGCCCAATCTTTTAAATGATCTCATCCTTTCCACCAGAGATTTGAGATATCAACCCTACCACTCCTGTCTCCCTGGGACCATCTACCATAGCTAAAATCTGAGCGATTTAAAGGCTTATTCCATAAGCCATAGGGGCAGATCTCATGGAGCTGGCAATGGTTCTCAAACTTTAATGTRCWTCAGAATCACTAGTGGGACGGAACAGACAGCTGGACCCCAGCCCCAGAATTTCTGATTCAGTGGACCTGGGATGGGGCTGGAGAACCTGCATTTCTAACAAGCTTCCAGGAGATATTTGATGCTGCCTGCCAGGGACCACTGGTGTACACATTGTGCATATCAAAGTACTCTCCTGGTCTCATTTTAATTAGAAACAAAACATGTGATGTTAGGCTCTAAAGCCCAGGCTTGCCATGCCTTAGAACAATACATAGGCATATACTTTTAAATCCACCCTACCAAATAATTCGCTTGCTAAAGGGTTTCATATAGATTCCTATTAAACAATAAGCCCTCCAGGTACATTTAGAAAAAGCTTCAATCCAGTGATGCAAATCAGAAAAAGCACTGGTCAGGAACCCRGAATTCTAGAGCCTAGATTTGGAAGCTGTTTCTGATACCATGTCACATGGGTATTTCAGGCCATTGTTCTGAACCTTAGTTTCTTCATCTCTAAAACAAGAGATTTCTAAGCAGATGCCTGGAGGGGCCCTCTGACTCTGAAATAATATCACTTTCCCCGTCTTATTTCATTTGACTGTCCACCTCTTCTCTTTCCACCCCATCCTCCTAATAGTCTAAATTCTTGTTTGCAATAAAGAWAAAACCAGCTCATCATGACCTCAAGGCAGGCTGGGCAGTCACTTGCCCAGGCCCAGACATAAATTGACCTCTAGGGGGCAAACTTTACAAACACAAATGATTCCCCTGAAGAGGTTTGATCTGACCACAGGGTTCCAGTGTGAGGCTTAGTGAGTTCATCCTAAACTAAGAGGGTCAAGCACAGACATAAAGTAGCAGCTAGGACCCTACAGACCATGCTGATTTCCATTAGAGCTGTGTGATCCAGGCATGTTCTACCTTAAGCAAATTTCAGTAATACTGTATGGAGTTCTAGAAAAATAACTAAGAAAGATTCACATCTCTAGAGAAATGATTCCCYATGACACCTATGTGGCCAGCTCCTAGGGATTCTTCATGACCCCCAGAAGCTGTTCCTGGGCCTTTTAGTGTCTTTCTCAGAATAGGTTCTCCTGCAAACTGCTGCCAGCCTGGTGCTCCCCCTCACACATGATGCATACTGCACCTAAAACTCACTTAGGGGGGTATGCTAAAACGCAGTTTTGGGGTTTCAATCCTTACAGATTCTAAAAACGGATCTGGAGAGGGTGGCCCACAAGTCCACATCTGAATTAACTGCCTTGTACTTCCAAGGCAGGGGATCCGAGAGCCATGTTTTAAGAAACACTGATTTACTTACATGCTGCTCCACTTGACCATGCCCATAAGGTCACAGAATATGTGTTTTATTAGTGTCCCCAATTCCCATTTCAGGGCCCAGCACAGAATTACCGTTCAGTGAATGACAGCTAAATAATAAATACCAGGAGATGGGATCAGGACTGAAAAGATTCACAAGTATCTGAGCAACAGCCCAGATTTCTTCCATCTCTGAGCAAGCCCAGGAAGAGCCTAGGGAAGTACCCGTGACAGGGGTAAACAGGAAGGAAAGGGGTAGGTATGGGGAGACTTCAGTTGAGGCCAACACCGACTATCCTACAACAATAGGAAAAAAAAAACCACCAGCAAGYCAGAAACCTGGTTCTGCATCTTTATTTACCAGGTCATTTCACCTAGTTGTGCTTGTACTGCTTTACCCCCAAAATTGAGGGGCCAAAAAGAGTCCCCATAAACCCTTGACAGAACAAAATAAACATGTGAACTAACTCATCGACCGGTTCAGCTACACACTCCTCCCAAGCAGAGCCAGGGCAGCGCACAGCACTGTGCCAAGGAACTGCAGAACAACCCCCTCCTTCCCACCAAGGGAAGCAGAAATGTGGGAGGCTGACCCAGACTGCACTTTCAATGGGTCTAGGTCATCCAGCAACACTCTTGGGACCAGCAAATGTGCTCAGCATGTTTATAAGACTCTTCTGTTATGTCAACAGGCTCTGAGGATGAAAACAGCTGGATGTGATCAAACTCTAACCGCCTATCCCCTGGATGAGGCACAAGAACCAAGAGGCTGGTGAAATAGTCAACAACCTTTGTCAGTGCACGTGCGTGGTGTGGTAGGATGGCCGGGTGGGGAAGCRGCACAGAGGGCCAAAGAGCCCTGGCTATGAAGAATTCACAGTCTGGTCACATGGATATCTACACATGCTGGCTCAGTCTCACATCGCCCCTGACAGCTGCACGCATGTGGACACAGGAAGGCAACGTGGTACTGTAAGCTGATTCTCAGTCTTGGCTGCATGCTAGACTCACCTGGAAGCTTTACAAAAAATTCCCAAAGCCTAGGCCACACCCCAGAATGCCTAATCAGAACTGTTAGGGGTAAGACTCAGGCATACCAGAATTAAAAAAAAAAAAAAAAAAAACTTTCTAGGTGACTCTGACCAAGTTTGAAAAACAATAATATGCAGAGGGAAAAAAAAATCAGGGGTTAGAACTAGAAAAACCTAAATTTGGTAGTACCCACTCCCATGAATTGGCTCTATGACCACAGAAGTGCACTTGGCCTTCCTGAGATGGAGTTTTCCTGCCTGTGAAKGAATGTAACAGTCCCCACCTATTGAAGACGTGTGGACTGGAGAGATTCATATGTGAAGCATGAATAATGAGCAGCTGGCTCATGACAGGTGCTTAATAAGTGGTAATATTTTGTTATTGAAGAGACAATTTCCTTCAGGTTTACCACTGTACAACGATGCACTGTAAAGAAGACGAAGACACAGTCCTGCCTTCAAGGAACTTTCTGGGCTGATAAGGAAGACAAAGAGGCACATTTGACTCAAGAGAGCAAAAGGAGAGATAAGAAAGCCCAAGGAAGAGAGTTAATAGAAGCATTTGTCCAAGATGAGGTTTATCTGCAAGTGCTTCATGGGAATTGCAGGGGACAAGTTCTAGAAAGAACCCAACAGCCCAAAATCCCCAGAAGCTGCTAAGGAAAGAGTAAGATCTCCCCTGATGGCAAGGATGAAGTCATCCTGYACTCATGTACCCAGAGTGCTGTGCACACAATAGGTCCTCAATTATTGTTTATGAATGAATGAATAAAATAGCAAATAAATTTAGAGAGAAGAGATTCCTCAAAACTTAAGATTTCAGAAGTAGGGAGGAAGAAGACAGGAGAGAGAGGGGTGTGTATGAGGRCAGAACAGGGTGGTCCTGTACCTGCTAGAAAACAAGTGAGGAAGCCAAGAATAGTGTGAACAACAGATGTCTGAAGCAGCCATCCTTCTCTCACTCCTTTATGACTGAGCCCATGAGTCACCACCTCCAGGAAGCCTTCCCTGAACTTCCCACCTACCCACCTTCAAACTAGGTTAGGAACCCTCTTCTGTCTCCTGACAGCAACTTCATTTCCCCCAAATACTGCACAGATCAAGCCTTAGTTGTCTGTGTGTACATCTTTCTCCCAGAACACTAGAAATATGTTGAAGACCAGGATTTGTAACTCCAAAGCCAGCAATGCCTGGCACAGAGGAGCACTCGGTGAATGAATGAATGCATGAATGAACAAATGAACAAATACAAATGAGTGAATAAATTAATGAATTGATGTGATCTGGGAAACTACCACTGTGGAGGGTTGGAGGGAAAGCTATAGCAGATGGAACTCAAGTTCCTCTAAGYCCACTGGGTCACATCAGTGCAGGTCAAGAGAAGAATCGGGTTAAGTAGTAGCTGGGAGCAGAGCAGAGAACAGAACAGAGGGAGGCTGAGTCAATACATGATGAAATGAAAATGTCACTGGCATTTGCCTCACTGGGCTGAGCTTGGGGTCGAATGACAGAACATACTTGTAGGCCCAGGATAGTTCCCGGCACTGAGTAAGATGCTCCATAAAAGAATGGATAATATTATCAGTCTTTCTAGGAATGACTAATATCATTCCTAAATTCAATCCTAAATTAACCCTAAATTCAGGTTGTTATGGGGGCACAGAACAGGGTCCCTAACCTAGTTTAAGGGTGGGAAGGTCAGGAAAGCATACGCAGAAGAGATAGGAACAGAGAAGTGACTTTGCCAAATATGCTGGCGGGCTGAATTCACGGTCCAATTACGTTTATACACATATGTGTGTGCATATGTACGGGCATATTGTATATTTGCCTGGCTGAGTTCCTGAGCTGATAGAACTGACGAATTCTTGCTGGTGATACTGTCTACAAGGCAAAGGAAAGGTTGAAGCAGGCTGATTTGTCTATTCGGGACTTTATAAAAGAACAAATAAATCTAGCATTTTACAGAGAATCAACTCCCACCGATGACATCTGCTGGTCTCTGCAAGGATGGAGACAGGTAGAAGATGACCACCAAGAAAGACCAGCCATTCCCAGCCGACTAGGAATACTTAATGCAAAGGACAGTACTAGGTCACTTAAGTTTGATCAAACGAGATGACATGGAACTGGATTTTATCAAGTATAAAACTTGTGGGTGGGATCTCTGAGGTATTCTTACTT